ATTTTTATTTTTGTACTGGATACACATTGTGGAATTTACAAGAGTTCTTACTCTATATCATACTTGCATTCACCCCCTGCATCATTCTCCTTATCCCCCTCTCCACATTCTTGGAGTTTGAACAGGTCTGATTCATCTTCAATTTTTTATTAATGTTTGTGTTATATATTTGTTTCAAATTGTCATATATATATATATGGATGTATGTTTAAATCTGCCACTTATTGATCTGTTTCCTGGTGTTTTATCTTTTTCTTATTCCTCTGTTAATCCTTTCTCAGTTTAATGTAGGTTATTTGTATGTTTCAGATTTGATCGTTGATTGTTTATGGTGTTGTAATATATTAGTTTGTAAATTTTTTTGATAGTAATATAGGTATTATTATAAAGACATGTAATTTATCATTTTATACTGTAATCATTGTTTTACCACATAAATGAAATTGTGGAAACTATAAGGTCCCTTTACTTTCCCTTCTTTTAAATATCGGTAAGTTTTCCCTCTACATACAGTGAGACTCACATAAATAGTGTTATTATTTTGCTTCAATTATCAAATATAATTTAAGAAACTCATGATAAGTGGGAAAATATATTAAGTTTAATCAAATATATTACCCATTTTGGTACTCTTGAAATTTCAAACATTATTTTATGATCATCTCTGCTCTGAGAACTTCTTTTAGCTATACTTAAAGGCTAAGCTTTCTAGGAACACATTCTCATAGTTTTTCATAATCTAAGAATGTCTTTATTGTACTTTATTCCTGAATATTTTTGCTATATACAGAATTTATGGTTGACATCATTTTCCTTTCAGTATTTCCTTATTGCCTCTGATTTCAGAGAAGAAATCTGCAGACATTCAATTTGATTATTGCCTATAGTTATTGTGGCATTTCTCTGTTTTTAAGATTGTTTTTCTTTGTCTTTATTTATCCAATTTCAATTAGGGTATATCTTGGTGTGGATTTTTTGGCTTTATGCAATTTGCATTCACTTACTATTTTAAATATCACTGTTTCAAGTAGAACAAGACAAGCCCTACTTCTCACCCTCTTACTCAGTCTCTTTGACCTCTATGGATACGGAGGTTCAGCTCCCTACTGGATACCACAGGTAGGGAAAAGGGGAATACTGACTAGTGATGACTCTCAGTGTTTTTTTCAATATCACTTATGCTACGTGGAAATGAAAGCTCACATCCTCACTGAGCTCTTTCAACACTGGTGAATATAGATATTAGTTCTTTTTCTAAAGTGTCTGCTTGCTGGTGAGATGTGGGTGGAAGATTAGCTCATTATATCACCACAGTGACATTATCCCTTTCAAAGAATTGGAGTAGAACATCAGCTTCTCTGTGGGAGAGAATGGAAGTCCTGCTTCCCTCTTGGCCCCATTAACACACTGGCAATAAGAGGCCGGTTAGTTTATCTCTTGGGCTCTTGCTGACAGTTGGGTATATATTGTCTAAAATGTTACCCTTTTGTAAGGCCCACTTTTTCCAGATCATTTGTGTAGGAAGAACATGCTTTTCTTAGAGATTTTTATCATCTCTCTCTGCAGCATTCTGTGTAACAAACATGAGATGCAATAGAGAGGTACTGGGAATTCATCACCTTGCCTTTCTCAAATTCTGAGGTCCCTAATGATAAGTCCTTCTATGTCCTCATCAGTTATAGACTTCCTTTAGATGTTAGTTGTGCTATGTCCAGGGTTTTTGTGTTTTGCTTGTTTTAGTTTTAAGAGAAAAGCCCTGAACGAATGGGGCTACACTATAAAGGCCAGAACTATAAGTCTCCCTTTCTATATCACTATCACAATGTTTTGAATAGTTGAAATATTCACCTTCCAACACTACAAACATAAAGGCATTGCATTATGACCTTTAGAAGGGCATTTAGTGTGTAAAGAGTTACCACTCCATTATCTTTGACAGCACAGAAGTCCTCTTCTTGGTTTTGTGAGCTCTTTGAATGTATGTTATCTTCTGTCATGGGGCACGAGAGGAAGAATTTTCAAAGCCAAATTGTGTTGAAGTCTAAGTTTCATACACCTGGCTGGTAGAAAATCTGATACTGATCATTTCAAGAATTACATCTCCTCTCTATGGGATGTTATTAGGCTTTGGACACTTGGTCTCAGGAAAAAAGGTCTTGTTTGCCATGTATATATTGCCATTCTTCATTGTATTACCAGATGACACTGGGACAATCTACACAAGTCCTTGCTAGTCAGCCTAGCTGCTGCTCTGGAAAGGCTTTGCAACTGCCCATTTCAGCAAGCATTTTCACTGATCACTGATAATTTTAGAGTCCTTCACACCGCCTTTAGTGTTTATAATCTTGCCATCCAATTTCTACAGATGTCTCACACCCACATACCATGATTTGTGGTGATGCAAGGAAGTGTGGTTTTTATCTCTATCACCACCAGAACCTTTCACTTATTTCTGGATTCAGACTACTTGGGTTCACGTAACTATACATTGGCTATGGAAAAAAAAATCATACTCTCTCCAAGCCTCAATTTCCTCCCTGACAAAATGAGGATTATAATAGTAGATTAAACAAGAGAATATTAGCAAATGTCCTGTAACAATGCTTGTTCAAATAATAATATAGTAAAAACATAAGATAATAGTAAAGCTTAATGAGATCTATATCCCTAATACACTGTAGGTACAGTTTCCATGCTTGGAACACTTACTCTCTATTTACCTGCAAAGTCTGTCACAGTATTCACCTAAATAAGATCTACTTTCAGGATAACCCTAAAATAGCCTAAAGATTTTAATACCCTACCTGAAAAACATCCTGCTTCCACCTGGGTCAGAAGAGCATAGATCAGTGATTCTCAAAGACTCTTCTAAATCTTTTCATCAGATATTTAGGGAAAGAACCCAGGGATATTCATGTTTATTAAGTTGTCCCTGTGATTTTAATGTGCACTAAAATTCATGAGCCATTTATCTACACTGTCTGTGCCTGTTCACATATGTATGCCTCTTTCTGACGTGTCTATTCATCCCATACCTACTTTCGAAAACAAAATGCAGTTCCCACTTATTCACCACTTCTGGATTCCACCTTTTCTTTGCAATAGGATGAATAATACAGGGAAGAATTCTAACTGTGGTGAAGCAGAATGTTGGGGAGCAGATACCCACCAGCCTGACTCACAAGAATGACAGCAAGAACCTATGGTTTCACTTGAAAAAAGACTAGGAGAAAGGGAAAGAAAATCAGGGAAATGTACAAGGCCAGTTGGGGAAGTGAAACCAACAAAGTAGTTAACATTGTCTCTTCTGATTGGCCACAAAAATTAATTTATCCCCATAAACACCCATCACAAACACCCCTTCAACAAACTAGATTTTTGTGGAGGCGTTTTGGGGCATGTGCAGATTTGGTGTCGGTCACCCCCCTGTCTGTCCAACACGTGTGACTCATTAGGTATGGGCCTGCCACTGAATTGGTTGTTTAGAAGAAATAAAGCAAATAGGAAATTTTCCACGACTTAGGGCCTTGCACTTGCTAGGCAGGTACTATACCACTTGAGCCACCCTTCCTCATACTTTCATTTATTTTTAAGATAGGGTGTTACTTTTATGCTCAGGTCATCTTAGCTGTGATGACCAGTACATAAAACACTTCCCAGCGTTATTTTATTGGTTGAGATGGGGTTTTCCAAACTTATTGCCTGAACTGTCCTTTAACCAAGACCCTCCTCATCTCTATTCCTGAATAGGTAGGATTACAGACATCAGCCACCATGTCTAGCTTCTTGTGGAACATTCTTTATTTCCTTCTCTGCTTGTAAAAAAATTATGTTCATCCATTTCATACCAGTTCCAAAGCCTCAGGGAGCTCTGCCCAAGGTCCTGGGCTTCTGGCTGACAATGGGGACATTAACCCTTCCTCCTAGGAGTAGGGAAAATGTTGTTCCTCCCCTGTACTGTTCCACACCACTTCCTTAGGACCCTGAGGTTCAAGAGAAGTCAAGAACTCCAAAGAATCCCTTCATCTTCCCTCTCCTCCAGCATTATCACAGACTACCAGTTTCAAAAGGCTGTGACCAACTAAGGAGTGTTAGACCACAGGCAAGCTCAATGGTGAGGCTCAAAGATCTGCCATTTGGCGTGTGCTCATCAGGGTATTGTGATACAGGAGAGGGAAAATATTCAGGTGAAACTATATAAGACATCACAAGTAGAGAGGATGAGACAGGAGAAACTACACAAAAGAACAAGGAATACTTGTTCTGATACTTTCCACTCCCCCTCCCCAATTTCCTGGTAAATTCAATTTCTAATATTAGTGAAAGTTCTCAGGTTTACAACAAAATCATTTTTATTTCTTCCTATAAATCATGGTCAACAAGGCTTGATTATATTTTAGGGTTCAGATTTTATTCCTGTAGGAATTGTACGGCTAAATTGACTGTGGCTGTGAGGGTTCCTAAACGTGACTTGTTAGATACTGGGAATACTGCGCTTAACAAATCAACTCTGGAAGCTCCACCCCTGTTCGAACTACTTTACCCCCTCTCCTTCCTCCACCCACTTCTGCCCCCTACTGCCACCTTCTGGCTGGCGTGCCTGAACTATCCTGCCCCTCACCACTTCCACGCCGCTACTACATTCCCACAGACGCCACCACCCTTACACCGTGCTCCTCTCTGATTCCACTTTCTTCGCTGGCTCCACCGCATCAGCCTCCACGGCCGCCAACGCACGCCATACTCGGTAGATTCGGCGCCCCGCGGTCGCTCCAGCCTCTTGGCCCTTGGGACCCAGCTCTCCCGGCTGACACAGAGACGCTGCCATCCCAGCCACCTCTACAGCCTGCGTGGGTGCCACGCGGTGCCGCCGCCGCCGCCGCCGCCGCCGCCGCCGCCGCCGCCGCCGCCGCCGCCGCCGCCGCCGCCGCCGCACCGCCGCCGCCGCCGCCGCCGCCGCCGCCGCCGCGCCGCCGGCACCGCCGCCGCCGCCGCCGCCCACCATGGCCCCTCAGCAAACAGGTAGCAGGAAGCGGAAAGCAACCGCGGTGGAGGAGGGCGCCGGGGGTTCCTCGTCTCAAGGCTTGGAGGCGGTGGGCCAGGGAGAGGAGCCGCCGCTGTCCAACAGGCAGAGGCGGCCGGCGGCGCGGCACTCTCTCGTGCACTACCTGAAGGGCCGCGCGGTGGGCGCGCGGGGCCACGCCGGGCTCCCGGGCTTCGAGGGCGAGCTGCGCGGCTACGCGGTGCTGAGGCTGCCCGAGCTGCTGACCGAGCGCCAGCTGGCCCTGGGCACCCTCAACAAGGTGTTCGCGTCGCAGTGGCTGAATGCCAGGCAGGTGGTGTGTGGCACTAAGTGCAACACGCTCTTCGTGGTGGATGTGCAGTCGGGCCACATCACGCGCATCCCGCTCCTGCGGGACAGGGGGCCCAGCCTGGCGCGGGCACAACCCGCCTGTGGCATCCACGCCATCGAGCTCAATCCCTCCAAGACGCTTCTG